TGTCCTGTCGCTAAGAGTCAGAACTGCCTTGATGGAAGTGGGTTTTGGTTTTGGTCATGGGTCCCACAAAATACACTCCACTTATGGTTGTTTTCGAGGTCCCAGAGTTCTGCAGATGCACCTTCCCTGCTAGGTTCTAGACATGCCATTAAAGGGTCAAGATTGGCTAATAAAGATCTGATTCCCAGCACGAAACAAGCCGCAGTTCTCAAATATGCAGTGACTGGACCAGCCTCCTTGGAAACAAGGGTGGAAGACAGCTGCTGCTTTCATGATCAAGAGACACAAGTTAGGGATAGTCCATTAGTCCTTCAAATACACCCCCCCCCCAAAAAAAAATAAAACATTTCTAATACACTCATTGGTGCCTTGTGGCTCTGCACATATTTTCAACAATTCACTTCTCAAAACTGTTCTGGAATAGTTTGTAGAGTGCACATCAATGCCAACCCATTGCCATCCGGCAGATTCAGACCCACGGTGACCCTGAGGACAAAGCAGACCCCACCTTTTTGGATTTCTGACATGGTAATATTTATGGGAGCAGATTGCATCTGGTGGGTTTGAACCGTGGACCTTTGTGGAAAGCAGCCTGACACTTCCAACACTGAGGGTCTCATGGACTCCCTGAAAGTCTGGCCATTCAAACCCACAGGGAGGCTCTGGGGGAGAAAGGACCTACTCACAGAAAGATGGCAGCTTAAGACTCCATAGGGGGTACCTCTACTCGGTCACATAAGGTTTCTATTAGTTGAAGTGAGTTTTATGGCACTTGACAAAAACACTACCGACAATTTGATCCAAAGTTTGAATCCCTTTGTCATTTCTACCTCTTGCTATCCCGAGCTGCTTCTCCTGCCTCCTACTTGTAAACCACTGCCACAGAGCCAATTCCTACTCACGGCGACCCAACAGGGCTGAGAAAAACTACCTCGAAGGCTGTAAATCTTTATGGGAGGAGACAGCCTCATCTTTCTCCTTCAGAGTGGCTGATGGGTTCAAACTCCTAACCTGTGGTTAGCAGTCCAATGCTTAACCAACTGTGCCACCAGGACCTTTCCTTATACCTATACTGACTTCAAACAATGTAACAACTCCAATGTACTCACTCACTGCCATCGAATCAATGCTGACTTAAAACTCCCTTTGAGTTTCTGAGGCTCAAACTGTTTATGAGAGCAGAAAGCCTCGTCTGTCTCCTGATGAGGAGGTTTCGAACTGCTGACCTTGTGGATCACAGCCCAAAGCATAACCACTACACTACCAGGGCTCCTACTGGGTCTTAAATTTATTCTTAAATTAATCAATGAATTAAAACTTTTTACTGTGACTTAGGTGGAGGCTTACAGAGCAGATGAGTTTTCCATTCGACAATTCAGACAGGTTTTATTTCCCATCATTGATTGCCCTCCCCGCACTGTCAGATCCCTCCTGCCACTTCCTCCCTGCCTCTCTCTCTTCAATTCCTCCTTCTTTCTCAGCCCTTCTGAACAATGTCCTTGGTCTATGCTGCCCTTGGGCGCTCCAATGGCCTTTGGGTAAGCACCATGCTTACCTCTGGAAGCCAGCCAGAGCTTACCTGAGCAGAGATCCCAATGAGGAACAGCCACTTCTGGTTGGGGTCCATCCGGTACTGGATCACCTGGCACCCAGCCAGACTGAAATGGCGATCAAACATCTTCACGGGAGGGACATCGCCGTCCATGGCCCAGTGGAAGACGGCGGTCTCAGTCACTAGTGCAACTGTGCTCAACGAGATCCACTTCCAGAAAACCACCTCATCGGCCATCACGTGAGCCTTCACTCTAGTCTTTGTGTCAATGTTAAAAATCTGAATGGTCTTCCCGGCTAGGAGGGGATGCAATGGGAAGGAGAAGAAGATAAATGAAAGGCACAGAAGATAAAGACGACACGCTTGCTTTTTCACCTTCTTAAGAAGAATTTAAGTGGTCCAAAAAATGAAAAAAGAAACAAACAAAAATGCCACCACAAAATGCTTAGTGTGTTAGGGTTCTCTAGAGAGATAAAATCAGATTGCTGATAATTTTATATATATACATATATATATTTATTTATTTATAAAGATAGATACATATAACATAAGAAATGAACTGTTAAATTATAAACAGATAGATAGATATATAACACAAGTAATGAACTGTTAAATTATAAACAGCTAGATAGATATATATTACAAGAAATGAACAGTTAAATTATAAAGCAGTACAAATGGCTCAGTGCAACTCACTCCCGTTAGAGAGAGTTGTGAGACACTAGCAGTCCTTCAAGTCTTGAGGGCTGTCTGGTAGTGCTCTGTAGAGAGAGAGCTAGGCTATCCCAGCACAGGCAGCAAAACAGCCAGCAGGTCACCAACTGTCAGTCCCCAGCTCCAGAGATGTCTTAAAGGGACCTCAACTTACAGCGACATAGTCCACAGGCTAGGCGTCCCATAGGTAGTGTAGCCTGTAAATTGAGGCACAGAACAAGCAAGGCAGCCGCACACTGGTCCGATGATCAAAGAGCGAGAGACAAGAAAGGCGAGGCTCACCGAGCCATATATCTCTCCGCCCTTCAACTAATCCCACTTATGTATATCGGCCAGGCTGGGACAATAAACTATCTCACTTAGCGACCCTGTAGGCAGAGTAGAACTGCCCCATTGGGTCTCTGCGGCTGTCAATCTTATTGGGAGCCCACTGTCACATCTTTCTCCCAAGGATCAGGTGGTGGGCTCAAATGACGGACCTTGCAGTTGGCAGCACAAGCTGAAGCCACTGTGTTTCCACAGCTTTTTGCAGTTTGTGTGATTTACAGTTAATCTGATAAAGAGACAGACAAAAGCTACCTTAGTAATTAACCATATTTCATGTTTCCATATTGATAATCCCCCCACCCACCCAATTGAGAAGGACATCAGATTCTTCATCAAAAAGTTACAAAGGGTGGGGGGGGGTGGAGAGAGGGGAATTGATAGCCTTGATGATTGTGTAACCCCACTTGATGGGATTGATCAACAGAGCTATACAGGAAGGGAAGGGATATATTGGAACAAGTAAGCTATGTCAATAAAAATATCATATTAAGTAAAAGTTACAAAAGGGTGTGAATATTTTTAGGACCTATTAATCACAATGAATTGAAGAAAATATCAGGAGCATTGACTTTAGGTAGGGCTATTTCAATTTTAGAATGCTTTTCTGGTAAAATTAGTCACGACACCAGACACTCTCAGTCTGGCCAACTTGTCCACAAATCTGGGTCAAGTGAACCAGAAGAATCAAAGGACTGCCTGTAAAGTTGGCTTAGACAGATGGCAATCCCAAATGAATCTGAACCTGCACGATATTTCATGGCTGGGATCTTCTAGAAAGAAATTTCAAGGTCTTTCTTCCATAGTGTCCCTGAGTAGATTCCAGCCTTTGATCTGGCACCAAGCATTAAATCCAAGAGCACCACATACTAGGGTTATTGCTCTTGTTAGGTGCCATCAAGTTGGTCTCACGCTTCGATTTCACGTACAACACAAGGAAACACCGCCCGTCCTGCAGCATCCTGATCGCTGTTGCTATGCTGGAGCGCACTGTTGCTGCCACTGGGTCAATCCACCTACTTGAGGGTTTTCCCTTTTTTGTTGACCCTCTACTTTACCAAGATGATGTCCTTCCCCAGGAAGTGTTCCCTCCTGAAGACACATCCAAGGAATGTGAGACCAAGGCGCGCCATCCTCACGTCTGATTGTACTGGTTCCTTCTTCTGGCAGCTCACGGTCTCTTTAATATTCCTCACCGGCACTTTAATTCAATTGCATCTTGGCAAATGGATCACTGCAGATGCAGTTAGGCTAAAACATAACACTGGATCATTTGATTTCCCTTTTGACACATTTAAAATGGGTTCTAGTTTTTAATATTCTCTGCTTTCTCTTTGATTGAGATTTTTCTTTGGTTTACTCTGTTATTGTTAGTTTTTTGGGGGGTGGGGTGGGTGGGGTGGGTGGTATGTTTTCCTGTATATGAAATCCAGGATAGGTAAATCCATAGAGACAGTAATTTGATTAATGGTTTCTTGAGGGTGTGGCAGGGGAGGTGGAGGGGAAATGGGGAGCTAATAATGATGAGTACAAAAATGAAGACCATGTGCTAAAGTTGACTGTGGTGATGATTGTATAACTCTTCTTAATATGAGTGAACAATTGAATGGCATGATATGTGAATTATATGCCAATAAAACTTAAAAAATAATAACTCAATTGCATCAACCCTTCTGCAGTTATTCATGGTCCAACTTTCATGTGCACATGACACGCCTGAAACTACAAGGGTTAGTTAGGTTAAGTGCACTTAGTCTTCAGAGTGATGACTTTGTTTGCGAACACCATAAAAGAGGTCTTTTGCAGTAGATTTGGCCAGTGAAACACATAGTTTGATTTCCTGACTGCTGCTTCCATGGTTGTTGACGGTGGATCCAGTAAAAAGAAATCCTTGACAACTTCAATCTTTTCTCCATTGACGGTGATGCCGCTCCTTCAATGCTGTCATCGTTGGAGCAATTCGTATTACGTTAGGAAAGAAAGATTAAGAGAAGAAAGGGTAGTCCTTACTATCTAGAAGCTGGCTGGGCACTTACAGCCAGGCCTTGTTACATCTTCGAGTGGACACAGAGCAAATTAAAGAACAACCAATCAAGACAGAAAACCTCTGAGATCGTGGAAGAGCACAACAAAGCAAGGTCGCTTCTGAATTTTGTCCAAGTCCTGGCCAATCACAGCTTCACCCCTGCACTAGTTTGCGTTCCCTTAGAAACAGGAGTTACTGAGACATCTAAATACCCAAAGCCCTCATGATGTGTTAGTCCCGGGTAGACTAGAGAAACAAATTCATAAACACGCATATGTGTATAAGAAAGAGGTTTACATACAAGAGCTATTGAATATTGAGAAAACATTCCAGCCCAGACCAAGTCCATAAGTCCAATATGAGCCCATGTCTGATACCAATCTATAAAGTCCTCTTCAGACTCACGAAACACATGCAATGATGCCGAATGCAGGGAGATCACAGGCCAGTGGGTGCAAAGTCTTGTGGATCCAGTGGCAGTAGAAGCATCTCAGCGCTGGCAGGGTCTCCACGTGGCTCCTCCAGTCCCCAGGGCACAGGGTCTATCAACACCATGCCGTGTGTCTTGTCAGTAGAGCGTCTCTCAGGATGAGCAGAGAAAGCGTCTCCCGTCTCCAAGGAGGAAAAACAGGGTTTCCCAGAATCCTCAGGAGAAGACCATGCCTACACAGAGGCCTCTCTGGCTATGACCCGACTGACAATAGACCCCACCCCTTCACTCTTAATCCTCTCAAGTCCCAAATTGACACCAGATTATGTAACTACCACACATGGGTTTTGGACATGTTATCAAGGAGAAAAAAAAACAAACCTGTCTCCGGAGAAGGGCATCACGTTTGGTAAAGAACAAGAGGAAGCCCCTCAATGAGATTGACTGACCCAGTGACTACACCAGTGTGCTCAAACATAACGAAACTTGTGAGGATGGTGTGGGACCAGGCAGCGTCCTGTTCCATCGTACACGGGTCGCTGTGACTTGGAACTGACTCGACAGCACCTAACAGTAACAATGATCATCGGATTACTCCACTTTCTGACTGCATCCACTCTAGAGCAAATCCCAACCTCCTCCTAACCTTCCAATAAAATCCCAAATCCCGTAACAGGTCCCTTCTATCACCCTCTTCCTGAGACATCCCACAGTCCCCCTGGTGTCTGGTCTCCTGTGTTGCAGGAAGTGAACCAGACTCGTTGTTCAACTTTAAGCGTGTTCCTGGTGGTCATTCACTGAAGGGATAGACAGCATCTAACTACGATGTTCTCTCTACATCCTTCTGATCTGAAACCATACCCTTCCAAAGAGCCACAGACACATTGCTCAGGAGAACTGCACAGAGAACTGGGAAGAACCACAGGCCATTTTGGAAAACACTAGACTGTGTGCAGTGTTTCATTCTGTCCTGCACAGGGGTCACTATGGGTCGTAGGTGACTTGGTGTCATCTAACAACAGAGACAGGCTAGCTAGCAGCTTTCTAGAGTACTGCAACGATATAAACGTGGAAAAGCAATTACTACAAGGTGTGAGTGCCGTCAGAAACAGCCAAAGGATCAGAGGTGCGCTGAATGGAATAGAAAAGACTTTGTAATAATCGGTGAACGTCAAGAATCCCTTCAATTAAGCTCAAGGCTGCTTCGCTTACATAACACATTCAAAAAAAATGCTTCTGACAAGATTCCATGGGAAAAAATGGAGTCTTTAATAGAACAAAGATCTTTTTGAAGGGGGGAAACAGAATTTGAGGATGTCTTTTACATAGAAAGGTCTTAACCTTCCAGTGGGTAACTATGAAAATGGCAAAAGTAGACCCTACTTCTGCGACAAAATGGAAGCACGGGCAAAGCTACCGTGTGACACATCGTTCTGGGTCCTCAAACACTTTTGACTTTTCAGGGTCAGTCCACTATCTATGTAATCCTCTCATTTCCCAAACGAAGGCAGTGTTAAAAAGATTCGACATTCCCAAGGTCACCAAGGTTCCCTGGGTTCATTCATGGTTATAGCATCAGTGAGGTTTCATAAGGCGGAGCAGTATCAGTGGCTTCCAGGGTCAGTTGACATCATTCACTAAGAAGTTCTCTACCCTATTTTGGCGAGCAGTGGCTGGAGTCTAAAGAGCTCCTGAGGAGTCATTGTTCCTGGTCCAAAGGAAAGAAGAATGAAGAAAACCAAACCAAACACGGAAACCATTAGTCCAACGAAATGGTCTCCACAACCCTGCCAACAGAACTAGGTGGTAACTGGCTACCACGACCCAAACCAAAATAACCCAACTCACTGCCATCAAGTCAATGCCAACTCACAGCGAGCCCCTGTGGGTTTACGGGAGTAGAAGGCCCAGTCTTTCTCCTACGGAACTTCCGGTGGTTTCCAACCGCCGACCATGTGGATCGTAGCCCAATGGATGCGTCATGACAACCCAACCTGGCTAAAATGAGAGATCACATTAGAAGGCTCTGGATAGAGTGGGCGAAAAATGCAGACCAGAACTCAAAACCATCAAAGAGATCAGGCTTATTGGTTGGATAGACACTGGTGGACCCCAAGAATGAAACTAAACACATTTTGTGACTCAATGTTAAGCCAAATAATACAAACAAACAGACTGCTATCAAGTCAATACTGAGTTATAATAATCCCGTGGGGTCCCAAGACTGTAACTGTTTACTGGAGTAGAAAGCTCAGTGTTTCTCCTGTGAACCTGCTTGTGGCTTTAAACTGCCGACCATGTGGTTCACAGCTCAATGCAAACCCACTACACCACCAGGGCTCCCAACTCAATGGTACCTGACAACCATAATCTTTACGTAGGCGCCCTGGTGGCCCAGTGGGCTAAGCATCGGGCTGCTAACTGGTGGTTGGTGGTTCAAACCCACCAGTTGCTCCAGGAGAGAAAGATGAAGCTGTCTGCTTCTGTAAAGATGGACAGCCTCAAGCCCCAAGCCAAACAAAAGTCAGGCCTAGAAGGGGAACGATAACATTAAGGAGGTATGCACACCTTGGAATAATAAACCATTTGAGATGCAAAGGGTAGTATTCACCCAAGGGCAAAGCTCAGAAGGGTTAGTTAGGAAAGAAGTAGGAAACCCGAGGAGAGTGGAGTAAGTGATATTGCATTGTGGAGATGGCTGTCAATGATAAGAAACAAATGTATATGAATCATTGGAAAACTAATTTGCTCTGTTAACCTTCACCCAACACACACACACACACACACACACACACACACACACACACACACAGGATCAAACATTCCAGCCCAGACCAAGTCCATAAGTCCAATATGAGCCCATGTCTGATACCAATCTATAAAGTCCTCTTCAGACTCACGAAACACATGCAATGATGCCGAATGCAGGGAGATCACAGGCCAGTGGGTGCAAAGTCTTGTGGATCCAGTGGCAGTAGAAGCATCTCAGCGCTGGCAGGGTCTCCACGTGGCTCCTCCAGTCCCCAGGGCACAGGGTCTATCAACACCATGCCGTGTGTCTTGTCAGTAGAGCGTCTCTCAGGATGAGCAGAGAAAGCGTCTCCCGTCTCCAAGGAGGAAAAACAGGGTTTCCCAGAATCCTCAGGAGAAGACCATGCCTACACAGAGGCCTCTCTGGCTATGACCCGACTGACAATAGACCCCACCCCTTCACTCTTAATCCTCTCAAGTCCCAAATTGACACCAGATTATGTAACTACCACACATGGGTTTTGGACATGTTATCAAGGAGAAAAAAAAACAAACCTGTCTCCGGAGAAGGGCATCACGTTTGGTAAAGAACAAGAGGAAGCCCCTCAATGAGATGGACTGACCCAGTGACTACACCAGTGTGCTCAAACATAACGAAACTTGTGAGGATGGTGTGGGACCAGGCAGCGTCCTGTTCCAT